TGCAACTCCATGCGGGCATAAGGTTTCAACCCTTCCAGGAAGGTGAAGAGTTTGTCTTTGTCCCCCATGTCGCGGATGTTCAGCATGAGCGCAGAGAATTCCCGCACGTAATCCCGCACTGATTTGGTCTGGCGGAGCTCCCGTAGCTTTCTCCTAGCATTGTACTCTAACATTTTCGGGGAAGAAGTGTAGGCGTATGGCTGCCTTCAGTTCTGCCCATGTCTCGAGGGCATCTTCACCCGCCTTGATGGCTTCGTATTTCACCTGCCACCAGAGTTTGGCATCACCCTGAAGATACATGGCAGCAGTTGCTACCTTCTTAGCTTCTTCTAGGCCCCCCACGGCATCGAAGTATTGTTCGATGTCGAAGATAAAGTTTTCCACTTCTTTGGCATTCCGAGCTCCACTGTATGGCTTTGGCTCAGGAATTTTCAATTTTTGGGCCACATGGGCGAGGTTCACAATACCCCCGATTTGGTTTCCACCTCCTCGAAGCAGGCCTTGTAAAGCAGCATTGACAACGTTGAGCTGGCCTGTCAAGTTGTCTATAGTTTGTTGCATGGCAGTCACCCTGTCTGCCTCTTGTGCCATGTTGGCTAAATCCTCGGCGCGCTCATGTTGGAGGACCTCAAATTTACCAAAAATTTCGGCTGCCTCTGTGGCTGCCGTTTGCCGGTCTCCTTCAGAGTCGCGACTGATGTTTTCTATGTCAACTTCGGCCTGGATCAGTCTGCGGTCCAGGTCGTCCAACCTTTGCACTAGGCTGGTCTTTAGGTCAGGCACCATTTCCACGATGGGCCGTAATGCGTCAACCGTTCCCTCAAGGGTCGCGATGCGATCCCCATAATTCACCATGGTCAGAAATGGTGGTAATTGCAATGTAATCCCCCGTCCGATGTCGAGCCTAGGCCCTGATACCAACTGTTACGCGGCGCCTTCCTGAAGTTCCTTGGAAGGGCGACGTAAGGCTAAGCANGGGAATTTTCAGTTTTCGGGCCACAGGGGCAAGGTTCACAATACCCCCGATTTGGTTTCCACCTCCTCGAAGCGGGCCTTGTAAAGCAGCATTGACAACGTTGAGCTGGCCTGTCAAGTTGTCTATAGTTTGTTGCATAGCAGTCACCATGTCT